CGTGAATGAGGAATTGTAAGGCTGACTCAGTTACTACTCCTTTAACTGTTCGCTAGATACATTTCTGTTTATTTACAGCCTAAGTATTTTTCAGCACTATGACAAGACCTCTGTCTTCAGCATGAATGACACTGATTTTAGCAGAGAGATGCTGTTTAACACCTACAGACCATTTTGCGCTGTGATAGCTCCAATAACAAGGACTTCTGATCAACATCTTGCAACCTTGACTAATGACCTTACTCATGCTCAAACCTGAATATCCTTAAGATAAAACTCCACTTAAAGACCTTACTTATCAGCCCTCGAGCACACTGGCACAGTTAGGTCAAGAATCTGGGAATGTGTACCTCTAGACTCACATCATTCTGCTCTGATGAGTAAAGACCTTGCCAGTGAGGTCAGGTGTGGAAGCTGTTACACTACAGATTTGTGTTGCTGATATTCTGTGCAGTCCTGAGGAAGTGTGTAAGAAAGACCAGTGTTGCCTGAACTGATGGTGTCATGATGAAACAATCCTTCAAAGTCAATTAAAATGACTGCTCAAACAACACTGCAGTTTTCTGTGCTAGCATAAACTGCAAACTATCTTCCCATTTAATCTAAATGAGCCCAACAGTCGTCTTCTGTAAAAATGGATGTGGCAATTGTTAACCACTCAGAGATGTGGGATTAATACTTGTAGAGGTTTTTGACAACTATAATTGCTGAGCATTACTGTTAATGTTATCACTTCTCTAGTAATGTTCTAGTCCTAGACAAGGACTCTGGGTTTATCTCCTTTGGAGAGAAGGGGGCTGAGGGGCAACCTGTGGCTCCCTGCAGCTTCCTGAGGATGGGACAGAGACAGGGAGGTGCTGAGCTCTGCTCCCTGGGACCCAGGGACAGGACCTGGGGAAGGGCTCAGAGCTGGGTCTCTCAGGGGGGTTGGGGCTGGACATTATTAGGAAGCATTTCTTTACCAAGAGGGTGGTTAAAGCCTGGAACAGGCTTCCTGGAGAGGTGGTCACTGCCCCAAGCCTGTCAGTGTGTGAGAGGCATTTGGACAATGCCCTTACCAACATGCTCTAACACTGGGTCAGCCCTAAGTGGCCAGGGAGCTGTACTAGATGTTCACTGTTGGTCCCTCCCAAATGAACCTATTCTATTCTATTCTATTCTATTCTATTCTATTCTATTCTATTCTATTCTATTCTATTCTATTCTATTCTATTCTATTCTATTCTATTCCTTTAGCTATGAAAGGGGTTGAAACATCTGAACTTAACAATACTAAGGTTTTCCAATCCAAAAGGGAGTAATTCACTTCATATTAATCAGAAATGCTATTCCCAGTATATCATCCTGATTTTTTTTTATCATCACATGAAACTAAAGTTAATTACCTGGCCTAAACTGGAGGAAGTACTAGCTTGAAGTTCAGTACAACTCTAGCATGAAACTAGAGCATTGTTTTAAGTCTGAGTAACTTGGTGGCAGTATTACCACTGCTTCTTCCCAAATCCCTGATAGAATTTCTACATCTTGAGAACTTTTCACCTCCAGGAATTTTATTATCTGCTAATTTGTTTGTTGTAAGTATTAAGAGTTTTAGTGCTTCCTGTAGTAAGGAATGAAATGCATGTTAAGACAAGGTACTATAAGTCTTTTATTTTGGGAGAGTTTAAGATTCTGGTCAGCACATCTGTGCAAGTAACAAACTAAGATTGACTCTTAGCTACTGAGGCAGTAGCACTCACAGCTTGGATGAATGACTGGGACTCCCCTCTACAAATACAGACCAAGAAATTAACTGTTTTTAAGAGGAAAAAAAGGGAAACAAATACGTAACTGCCTTGCCTGCCCTTGGCATCATGGCAGATGAGGAGTAGAACTGATGACAAACCCCTGCTTTTTGCTCCCAGCCACATGTCCTAATCGGTAGGTCTTGTGGCCTCCCATCCCAGAAGAATCACTAGCAAAAAGGAGCAGACAGAGATGGAGTGACGGGCAGGTTAGGATAAAACAACCACATGTATACACGCCTTGTTTAGCCTATTTGCCAAAGGAGAAGAGGTTTTTAAAATCATTTTTATGTGGTTCTGTGTTCACCAATAACTTTAAACCTTTCCATTAAGTTTAAGAAAGTGGAGAGAGGTCTCAGCACTACTAGGTAAGAAAACTAGCATTACTAGTTTTTAACTGTTTTGTACAGACTGATGAGACAAGTAACCATTTCTCCAATGAGAAAAAATGCTCAGCATCAATTTACTACTTAAGAGATGCAGGTTATTCATGCAAACAGGAGAAAAGCTTCTATTGTATCTTGCACGATAGACCACTAAGAATTAAACTAAAAGATTATATGAATCAAAAGAAACTGAGACCTACTTGCTTCACTGTTTATCGGAGCGATTATTTTATCATGTTGGCCAGAAGAAATCATAAGAACTCCTTAATTCGCTACACATGTGCTCACTGCCAGGTGTTAAGTAACACATACCAAGCAAATACAAGATTTACAAGACAGAGCCTAGCTTTTCAGAAGGCTATCACATTTATGTAACAGGTGGATTTTTTTTGAAGGAAATGAGGCCAAAACTGTAACTGGCTCTGGGAGAGGCAAAGAGAATGCCCACTAGGAAAGGAGAACGTGAAAGGTTGAAATAAACCGGAGTGACAGCATAATATTTTGATTATTCAAATAGAAACACCAAAGCCTTTTCAGTCCTATTAGAATAAAGTACATTATATTGAAATCCTAGCACTAGCAAAAATTTGTGCCAAATTTTAAAATTCTATGCAGACTATTCTAAGTTCTCAAACAATAAATGTCCAGTCTAGGACAGTAAGGTCAAGGTAAGAAGTGTTGGAGAATGGCTTGCAGAGAGCAAGGCCATAGCTCCCTGCAGAAGTCAGTCACAGCCACCTGAGGTAAACAGAGGAAAAAACCCAGGGTACAGTTATACTAATAAGGAAGGAGATTCAAGGCTCAGTGATGCTAACAAGGACTGTTGTGAGAACAAAGAGATAAGTTGGGGCACATTATGACCTTGGGGATGAGAGAAAAAAGCTCTGGGAGGGAAACAGGTTTAAAGCAAGAAAAATGTTTATGCATACCAGAAATGCTACAAGGGGCTGGGATATTACAATGTGACCTTTTCGATGTACCCAATGGCTGAGATATTATAATGTAGCTTTTTTAATGTATCCAATAGAGTTACAAGTAGTGTATTGTAGAATGCTTATATAAGGTGTGATTTCTTTCAATAAAGTTGAAGCTTGCTCTATCATTCACATTGAATTGTCTGCTTGCTTCCTCCGCCCGCCGCAAAGAAGGGCTTCAAAAAGCAGAGGGGATGATCCAGAACAGCTTTTGTCATTAGGGAGGTTTATGACAGGGCAAGAGAAGAGATGGCAGGACAAAAATGGAATAAAACCTCTTAATACACTATTGAGTCAGGCTATGTTATTTTCATATATCCAGCTACACACTTCACACCGTGGAAGTCTCTTTCCTAACCAGACAGATTACCACTTCAGTTGCAGTGTTGTAAAAACTGAATTCCAGTACTTTAAACTTGGACTGAATACATGGAGTCGACTGTTTTTCCTTTTTTCTCCAGATTTTGCAGAGGCAGAAATAATGTTTTATACTGAAACCTTCCCTACAATATTTTATTAATTTAATGGTTGGACTCACTGTGCATGTTTGCAGAATTATCATACAGCTCAAGTGTAAATGGCTAATTAAGTGCTTCCAACTTAAGACAGTCCACCTACAGGGGTAGCAGTTTCTGTTACTGGCATGTAAATCCTGACTATCTTTCAAGGCTGCTTCTTCGTATTTGGCGTATTGAAATGTCTTTTTACTTAAGTTTTAGACAAGCTCCTACTAAAATAACACTATTAGTCATGAAAAGTAGGAAGTTGTATAATGTGCACTGGTAATTCAACTTCTGTGACAAAAACTACATTGTGATGTAGTTTTTTAATTGCACGATCACAGGCTCATTTTCCATAGAGCTGCACCTTGTTCAGTGCGCCAGTATTCACCTAATGAGCTGCTGTGCAGCACTTCATCCAATCTTTCTGAATGCCACCTGTCTCTTTATTGAGAAATCTATTACTTCTTCCTCCTCACCAGATTTTTATCAAGCCCTATGATGTACTGAGAAGTAACAGTTTCCCTGGCTAGTTCTCACCCTCATATACTTCTCTTCCAACTAGTCTTAAATGTATCCTCTTCCATAAAAATTGATATCAAGATTTTTTTTTTTTTTTACTCAGCTTGTCCTCGGCTTAAATGCTTTCCCATTTTAGCCCTCATCTCACGAGAGCCTGTCCCAAGCATTCCTCTGTTTTTTTCCCCAGCTTTTTCCCTTCTATCCTCACGTCACATGATCTTTTCTTCCAATTGATCTAGATCTCTCAGGTTCTTCCTGACACTTTTCCCCTCCAGGCTGTGGGGAAAAGAGCATGTCAGTAGAGGGGCATGGATGTATATGCAATCCAGTCACACAAGGGAACCATAAATTTACAGCCTTGTCAACCATGAACATGTGAAAAATCTCAAACAAGCATGTGCAAACAGGTGTGTGTATAGGGGTGGTGGGAGCATTTCTCTATCACACCGTCAAGCTTAACACTGACATACCTAGTTTTTTTCTTTCAACTGTTTGTTTGTTTGTAACATGGAAACCAGAAGGAATGATGCTCTTTTGCTCCACTCGAACATAATACAAAGGAGCCGGGGAGGG